ATAAAGGATTCTGTGTAGGGCCTCGGGTTCTCAATCAGGCAGGATCAGGCTCCGGGTTCCTGGAAGGGCCCTGTAAGACTTTCTATGTAGGGAGTTTCCGAAAATTAGGGGTACCTTAAAAGGGATCCTTTAAGGGGTTCCTTAAAGGGATCTATAAGGGTTCTATAAAGGGTTTAGGCTTTAGAGTTTCCGAAAATTAGGGGGTACCCTATTTTGGGGGTCCTTCTCACAATCAAGATCCTACTATGTAGGGTATTCTATGACGGTCCCCCATTGTCTGAAACTCCCATGTATTTTTTCTGACTTGGGTCTCCAAAAGGGGGCCCTTTAGGGGTAGGCGCTTGGGGTGTTAGGGTCTGTGGCTTTGGGCTTTCTACCTAAACCCCTAAACCCCCTACACCCCAAACCCCCAAACCCAACTAAGGGTTGTTTAGGGTCTAGAAGCTTGGGCTTTCTACCTAAACACCTGAACCCCTACGCCCCAAACCCAACTAAGGGTTGTTCATTTGGGAGTTTCATGCTCAAAACCGCTGCCTGCCCAAAGGAAATTCTGCACGTCTTCCTTGGACCCGTGAGGAAAGCCGTGCTCAGCAATCATGGCGGCAGCTCGTTCAGTGTCCTTCATAGAGAAGTCAGGCGCGACGAAGCGATGTCGGTTCTGCAAAGGAGTGCCCCCCATGTGCGCCGAAGCCAGCACTCGTCTGCATGCTTCTGGAGAGCATGGTGAAATTGAGAGACTTGAAACATGATGTCAAGAGCGAGAGAGCGTCCCGCCCCAGCTTGACCAGAACAGGATTGGATAAAAGTTCCTGTTGCAGCGATGGACCAGGGGTAAGTGAGATGATGTGATATTTGAGTTTGACATTGTTGTTGATGGCTGACGCCTCTCTGCAGAACTGAGGGAGCCTTTTGCTAGCAAGAGCACTGGCTGTGTCAGATGAATGCCTCATATTCACCTCCAGCAAAAGGACGGTGACATTCTCGTCATCGTCAAGAATGACATAGAAATCTGGTCTGTATGAAACATCAGGGACATCAGCCCTGCCTGAAGGAAAACTTGCCCCGGCAAACTGGCAAATCTCCGCTAGTGTGGGTCTGTCCCTCTCGACGGGAATCCGAAAATTGGGGACCCTATTATACTACCCTAAACAGTAGGATCCGTACAGGTAAACACCGAAGTCATAACAAAAACGGTGGGCGAGCCTTCCCGCAACTAACCGCGCGTTACGACTCATTTTCGGAAGTCAGAACAAAATCGCTTTCCACCATGTCACCGCGGGATATTTGAGTAGTCTGCAACGTCACTTCCGTCATAACATTTGCTGTTTCCCCCAAGTAACCGCGCCTGACACAAAACATGGTTTCCACACACCGCGTCTGAGACTTTCTACCGAACCCTGGGCTTGGAAGCCACAAGAGGCACTTCCAGTGCTAAAGTTGTACTGCAACCAAGCACAATCCAGCCAGGACGCCAAACGAGGCAATTCCAGTACTAAAGTTGCACTACAACCAAGCACAATCCAGCCAGGACGCCAAACGAGGCAATTCCAGTACTAAAGTTGTACTACAACCAAGCACAACCCAGCCAGAACGCCAAACGAGGCAATTCCAGTACTACAGTTGTACTACAACCAAGCACAACCCAGGCCGGATGCCAAACGAGGCATCTCCAGTACTAAAGTTTGGTACTAAAGGGACTTTGGCAAGGAACCCGTATCACCAACTACACCGCGGAATGTTACGACCTAGCGTTTTCGCTTCCCCGAAGGTATGCTCCGATTTGCTCACATGCGTTACGACTTCGGTAGTTCCCTGTATCATAAGGAATAAGGCCCCAGAATAAGGTACCCAGAATTTCCGAAAACTCCCATTTAGCTCTACTGTGTTTTAAAGGGGTGCTATCGGGCTTGGAGATTCGTGGGGTCTCGTCGTAGGGCTTTTTGGGTGTAGAGATTACGCTTTTGGTTTAGTGGCTTCGGGTTTAGGGTTTAGGGTTCGTGGCTTCGGGTTTAAGGTTAAGGGTTTCAGGGTTTTAGGCTTTAGGCTTCCTTATGAAAGTGCTGGGTTCAATAGGATTCTATGAAGATGTTTGAAGCTTTCTATTGGGGTCGATGAGGTTTCATAAGGGGCGTCCGGAAGTTGTATAGAGCTTGAGCCGTAAACATTTAAGCTCAGCAAGCGAAAATCAGAAACTGCCCAATGGCCCACCCAGAGACTGCCAAGCCTCTCGAATGCGCAGAGTTTAGGGTATAGGGTTTAGGGTTTAGGGTTTAGGGTTTAGGGTTTAGGGTTTAGGGTTTAGGGCTCGTCAGCATAATTGAAGGATAAGCCCAAGCCCCAACCCCAAAGCCGTAGTTCAGGAGCTGCAGGGTCAGATGATTAAACCCTAAGCCCTAAACCTCATTGTCTTTGGTTTAGAGGGTCTTTGCAATCTTCGGAGCTTTATCTTTTTTTGAAAAATCTTCAGAGCTTTGGGCTTCAAGGCGTTAGGTTTGAGTGCGTAGCATTTGGGATAGCTGGTATCGGGCTTGGGCCTTGGTTCTTGGGTTGGGGGTTTGGGCTTTAGGATTTAGGGCCTAGGGTCTAGGGCATAGGGTTTAGGGCTTGGGGTTCAGGATTTAGGGTTTGGGGTTTAGGGCTTGGGCTTAAATAGAATAGAAGACTTCATGGTGCTACTAAGACATACTACAGTTTCTAGAGTCTGCCTGCTCTTCCTCCTGCGCTTGCGCGATCGGCTTCGCTTCTTCTTCCTGGGCGAACCGCCGTGCACAAGCAACACCCGGAAGGGTTCAGGGTTCGGGCTTCGGGGGTTTAGGGTTTTGGGGCCCTAACTCTAAAGCCCTAAACCCCTATAAACCCTAAACCCTGAACCCCAATAAACCCTTAACCCTAAACCCCTATAAACCCTAAACCCTAAACCCCTACTGGGTCGGGGGACTTAGTAAGTAGGTTATACGTAGACTTATAAGTGCCTTAAAAGGGACTCTAATCGGGGTTATGGTACTTACAAGTCTCTAAAATAACTACTTACTAAGTCCCCCGACCCTCCAAGTATAAACCCTAAACCCTAAACCCCTATAAACCCTAAACCCAGCGGGCTTGGTGCTGAGAGCTTCGGGTTCACGATTTGGTAACCGTATGATTTCGGCGCGGTGCCTGAGATGGGTCCCTTTAAAGGGATCTATAGGGATGCTATAAGGGTATAGGGTTTAGGGTTTAGAGGTTTGGGGGTTTAAGGGGTTTAGGGGAAAAGGAGGGACCTTTGATGGGGATCCTTACCCTATAACGGGCTATATAATGGGTATATAATAGCTATAATAAGGGTATATACCTAGGGGTGTGTATTAAGGGTCCCTCCTTTTACCCTTGGACATGAGCATTTAAGCAACGCCTGCTCTCTATGATGTGAATACTCCCGCAACTATTGCTGCTGTTGTTGATCTTGCTGCTGTTGCTGTTGGCTTGAGGATGTCCTAACAAGCCGATGCCCTAAAATCTGAAACCCTTAAGCCTCCAAACCCTACAGGGCTCATGGTTGAGGGTTTACGGTTCAATGGTTCGGGTTTCAGGTTTAAGGCTTAGTGTCCAAATGTCTTTGCGATCTTTTGGACCCATTCAAAACTCTGTCTGAAATTGGGATTGGGCTTCAGGCTCATCAGATTTGGACGGCTCATTTCGTTACACCTGATATGACACTTGCCGAGCCGAACCCTTATAAAGCCCTTATATACACCTCACCTGGACCGTAAATAACCTACGTTTCTAGGGTTCCTTGTTATGAATTCCTTATATAAGTCCTCCAAAAGACATGATGGGAGGCCAAAAGGGGTGTTTAAGATTCTTGGGGTAGGGATTCCTTAATATGAACCCTACTATGGGAACCCCAATCCCTACTAAGCCCCCGCAGACTAAAACCACTTTTGGCCTCCTATGAATACTTGAAGGCTCATGGGACTTAGTAAGTAGGAGGGTTATAAGTAGGTTATAATTAGGATAACCCCACTTAGGGGACTTATAACCCCAATTATAACCTACTTACTAAGTCCCATGATCCTCTAGGTACACCCTACTAAAGCCAGAAAACCTTTGCCCCAAACCCAACATCTTCTTGATGCTAGGGCTTCTAGGGAGTTTCGCAGCTCTTGTTTCAAAGCCCCGGTCCAGGCAAAGACGATGTAGATGTTCCTTGAGCTGTGCACGGCTTCGGGGTTTCCCTAAACCCTAAACCCTAACTGGGATCCCGAAGAAATCAATGCAGGCGAATTTCTTGCGGGAGCGGCTTCGCCTGGCCAGTCGTGGGCCCTAAAAGCCCTACAAAACCCAAAGGAGGGTTTAGGGGTTTAGGGTTGAGGGGTTTAGGGGTTGAGGGGTTTAGGGATTGAGGGGTTCAGGGTTTGGGGGTTTAGGGGTTTAGGGGTTTAGGGTTTAGGGAAAAAGCCCAACCAAACAGCAACAATGCCCATAAACCTGAAACGATACTTCAGGTGGCTCTGAAGGCTTTAAAGTTGGAGTCAGGGCTTAGGGTTGAGGGTTTTGGGGTTTAGGGTTTAGGGCTTAAGGTTTAGGCTTTCGGGTTTAGGGACTGGTTTCATAGATGTCCGCTTCGGGGCCGCCTTGCCCTTCTGTCTCTGTGATACCGAGCTCTTGACCATGACGCTTCTATGAACCCTGCCACGGAGGAGAACGCTGGAATAGAGCATGAAGTTTCCCAGGCTACCAGCTAGACACGGCTAGTTACCGGTAAGTCAACCCTTGTGACCTTTTTCCACGGGGGACTTGGGCCAAGTGCAATCGCGTAAAGACATAGCTAAGGACCATAGGAATAGCAATGGAGGCAGGGTAAAATCTACACCCCCCTCGCCGTGCTGCTCGAGCTAAGGCGGATAGTACATGGCTCCAGGTTGCCCTGGGCTTCAACGGTTTTGAAGACTTGCCAAAGCGAGCATTTATAAAGCACAACGGGGAAGCCCTGCAGGTCCGAAGCAAATCAAAATGAGGACTCAGCGCCTATGGGTGCGGTTCCATGCATCCCACTCGGCCTGAGTGTAACCTCCACGACGCTGGCGATAGTACTCGTCCCACTGGGCCTGAGTATAGCCTCTGTACATTGGCTCAGGTGCTGTCGTGCGACCACGTCCCTTTTGGGATGGGCGGTTCTGGACTGCGGCCTGGCGATTGCGCTCTGCCAAACGTTCCGTTTGGTCTGTCTGGTTCTGAGCACTACGGAGGCTATCGGTAAGAATCTGCCCGATCTCAGTTGTGATGCCTTCAATTGTGGTAGCCGACACATAGACCTCGCCGTCGAAAGTCAGGATCCTTTTCGCAGCATCGTTCACTGCTGCCACCTCAGCATAAAGTCGCGGAGGGAGGAATGCGCCGAGGTAGGTCAAGCCGATGGGGACATCCGCGGTATCATCGATAAACCGCAAGTTCCTCAACGGCTCCACTTCGCAGTGGGCATAATAGACCAACTTCGCAGGCGGGACGTTGCCACCACCATATGGGAGCCGGCACGCAAGTAGCGCTGCTCCTCGCTGCGTCCTGGATCGGGAAGCACAGCGTTCGACAGGTGATCGAATTTCTGCATGTCCTCGAAGTTGCGGCCCTCTTGCATCATCCTCACGTTGAACTGCGCGTCCTTCTCGAAGCGGTCGGACACGGTGTCAAAGTTCAACTTGGCGGCCCTGATCTTTCGGTCTTTGGCGTCACGAATGGCGGCAGCCTCTGCGCTCATCTGACCACGTTTCTTTGGTCCCTCGCCCAGGCCTCGAAGGTCACTCGCAAGGAGATCATCGATGGGCTTCTGGGCTCCGGTCGCTGCGGTGGCAAGAAGGCGCTGGCGAAGTCTCGAATTCTCAAAGACTCGCTTTGTGATCTTCTTAGAATCATCCGTCTGGGGAGCCTTGCAACGGAGGCAGAACAGCATGCCATTGGCAACGACTGCTGCGCACTCGCGGCATGGGTGAGAGCCAAGTGGGTAAGGCTCATCCTCACCCGCATCCGTTGTATCGCCTTCATCGACTTCAACCTCAACCTCAACCTTGGTTTCGTCAAGGTCGAATGCAACAGCAGCATCAGCAGGCTCACCCTCGCGGGTGGCTTCATCCAAGTCCATGCTTTCGTCTTTTTCGGCGATTGCGGCGGGCTTGGGAACCACCTTCGGCATCTTCTTTGAAGTAATCGCTTTGGGAGCGATAGCCGCCTGTTTTGGGGGCGGTGCCGATGATGAGCTTGCTGCTGCGGCCTCCTCATAGTCGCGCTTGGCGCGGAAAATGCGCTCTGGCTCACCCTCGCGGGCGGCTTCTTTGTGCTCGGCGACATAGAGCGGGAGGTTCTTGTTGCTGGTGTCGATGGCGGACAGCACGCAATCGGGAGGCACATTGTCCCGTGTGAGGACGCCGTCGGTCTCCGTGACGAAGAAAACGCATCCAGCGGCGATTGCTCGCTGCGTGTCTATCGTCAGCTCGATCGGCTGGTTGGATCGCATTCCACTCTTGTAGTGGGTGTCGTCCAACTTGTACGGGGACAGGTAGTTGTGGGACCTGTCTGACCTCGCGGAGCCGGCGATCATACCATCGCGGAGGATCCCCTTCATTCCCTTTTCATTCGTGCGGTGGAAGAGCTTCGGGGGGGTATCCTCGCGGGAGAGCACAGTGACCCCCCTGACGCTGCTCTGCAGGTCGGCCTCGTACTCGGACAATCCGCTGTAGAACCTGGTCGCGAGGAAGAAGTCCGCGTCCGGGTTATTGCCGATGAGCTTGGAGTTGTGCCCTTGGGCCATCCTCACCCGGACAGGGAATAGCGGCTGACCCAGGGTGTCCTTCATGGGGACATCAATGCCCAAAAGTCTGATCCGTCCCTTATTATCGGCTTTCGCTGCGCGTAGCAGCTGCCTCACACCCCAGCGTGCGTTCCGTGCCGTGTTGAAGACCTGGAGCAGAGTGTCAACGTCTGCCCAGCACCCACGGTCAAAGATCAATGCAGGGAAGTCGTCCATTTCATGGCCACGCAGCAGCTTGGTGAGGAACTTCAGGTCTCCGTGTTTGAATGTCAGGTGCCTGTCTCCCACAATGTCCTCCGGATTGAAGGGCTTCATCAAGTGCTTCTTGCCGTTGTAGAAGTACTCATTCGGAAGCTCTGGCACAGTGGCAGCCCCTTGCGGGGCGCTTTCATCAATGAACATGAGCCTTCGCATGGCGTCCTCGTCTCGGTCAGACTTCTTAGTCTTCTTCGGAGGCGCTGGCTCAACAACACGTCCAATCGATGATGGGATGGGGTCGACTTGGTCGCCCTCATCCACCAGTTCCACCGTGCCCGGGGTATTGTAGGACACCTTACCATCTGCGTCCTGGGTGACAATGTCATTGACGCACTCCGCAACAGCACTAACATCAGTGGTTGCACCGATCCTTGGCACATCCTTGCGGATGGCTTTATCCATGGGTGGCCCCTCGGAGATCTTAGTGACGTCGGTTGCGTCAGCGGCATCTGGGGCTTCCCACATCTTGTCCTCCTGGGTGACCGGCATTGGCTTTGCCTGTTTCGGGTTCATAAGCTGGTCCTTCTCCGCACGCCACTGCTTGAAGACATCCTCGAGCACTGGATTGTTGGCACCGGAGCCAGTCTCAAAGTGCTCATAGCGAACAAGCAAAGCCCTGACACAGGGTGCCATCTTCTGGGCAAGCCATTCGCTCCTGCTTGCATTGAAAGTCGCATGCAAGTAGGTCTGGAATAACTCGCGGTTGCGAGGGTCTTCACTGGCGTGAAAGCTGTCATACATTTCCAGCTTTTCGACCAAGGAGCCCGCGGTTTGCACTTGCAGACCGCGCTGCCTGAACTCTTCGAACATAGCGGCATTGAAGTCGTTGTAGGCTGAGTGGAGTTGGAACAAGTCCGCCTCCACCTGCCCAATCACCTTCACAAAACCAATGTCCGGCTCGCCCGCGAGGGCGGCTAAAACATCCGCTGCCCTTCTCACTTTCCGTGCGACGGTCTCCGTTGTGACATTGGGATCTCTGTAGGCGAGTCCCGGTCCTAGCCGCGTGGGGATGCAGCCCCACTGGCCGGAGATCTCGTTCCCGCACCACCAGCAGATCACGTCGATGGTGTGGTCCGGATAGTTGCTCCGGAGCTCCTTCACATGCTCCTCGACCTGCCAGACAATCCATGCCAAGGTTTTACCCCAACACATAGTGCAGCGAGTCTGTGCCCATCCCAGCGTCCAGCTTGCGATGTTCACTTCCGCATCCAAGTCGGCCTTGACGAACACTCCCCGCCTGTTCTTCTTGCAGAGTGCAGTGGAGCTGTCTGACACGACTATGATGGCTCGCTTGGCCTTGGGGCTCAACCTTGCGGTTGGCTTCAACTTGGCGAGTCCCTCGTCACTGAGGTCAGCCATCTGGCGCAGAGCCACACAGGTTGCGTCGGCATGGGTCAAGGATACCTGGATACGCAGCTGTACGCCGACTCCAAGAGCTGGCTCTCATGATCGGCGCCGAGCGAAAGTTGAGGGCGGCGGATTGGAGAATGGTTTTCATGGCCTTGGTAACTCCATTCCTGTCTGCTTCGGAGGTGTTGACCCTGCAGAACTCGTCGCTCACAACGATGGCTGCCATCTTGGGGATCGTAGAAGTCGCTTCGGGCAAGTCGAGAAGATCAGAACCAGCTGAAATTGCAATGGCAGGCGTGCACATAAAGGAAGCCAAGATTTCATGGTCAAGGCTTGCAGTTTGTTGTGTGTTTGTGCACTCGAGCGATGTGTGTGCAAACGAATCATTTTCGAAACGAGAACACGGTTTGTTAAGCCTACCCCCCTCATCGAGAGGGGAACCAACACACCTCAAACAAACCATTGCCTTCTGAGCTGGGAGCTTCAACTGAGCCGTAGGCAAGAGGAACTGTGATTGATGTAGGAATTGCTTTCGCTTTTTGTTGAACTTCTGGTACCCCCCTGAAGAGTAGGCGATGAAGGAATGTCGTTCGCCAGTGTAGGGTTGTACACCATGTTTTGTCGATGGATGCAACAGAGTAGGCTTGCGGTATGTGTTGCAATTGTAGCCTTTGTGGTCTTTGCCATGATCATCTGTGTATATTCCCGGTGGTCCCAATTGGCTCGCGCCCTCAATCCACAATGTCCCCCCTGTATAGTTACCGAAGGAGAACGTCAGGTTGTACGATTCTTTCTGATTGTACTTATCCGTGTGGATGCGGGCCTTGCCATTGAAGTTGAACACGAACGAAGTCCATGTAAACCCTTTCGGAGATGATCGCTTAACAAACTCGTTCACATACCTGCAAATCCATGGGTAATGTTTTGTGCGGTTGGTAATACCAAAGCACCCACCATGGACCCAAGCGCCGAATACCAAGTATTTGGATATGTTCTCAGAAGCCATAAACGATCGCGGTTTTGCCAACGATGCCTTGAGATTGGTACGAATAAGCCCAGCTAGCTTCTCGAAGGTCTTGAAGCTGTAATCGTTAGCCTCGAACGATTGTTTAGCGAAGTCCTCGACAACCTTTGATGCATCCGGAGCTGCTGCTACCGAAACCTTGTTGTTGACCTCGACCTTCGACTCGGGTTTGCACCCGGCTACGTTCGCGCTGGTTGTATGTCCAATAAGCTTCAAGGCATGCGTCCACTTGTTCTTTTCAGTGAAAGGCTTCGTGAACACATCCGCCACTTGTTCGGCTGTACCAACATTCAGTAGCTTGAAATGCCCAACCTCATATTGCTGCTTTAGCCATGAGAAACTCACCCTCTGTGTCCGATCAGTATGTCGTAGAACACCAGCTTGCCCTAGCAACAAAAGAGTGATTGTCGCCTGGTTATCCTCCATATGTCTAACCTCGAAACTTTCAGGAAGTTGGACACAGAGGCCGTTGATGTCTGCGATTGACAACCCATCCGGTCTAGTGGACCCATAACGAATTTCGTCAAGTTCAGGGTCAATGCGTGCAACTATCGAATCCACCCTCTCAGCCCTTGGCTCGGCCTTGCGGCCGGCATCTCCACGCCATAGGAAATACCACAAGCTCAGGCAAGGTAGACCTTCGGCACGTAAACCGTGATTCGCTGCTACAACTTCGGACTCAGTAGAGCTCATTGTAATAGATGTTTGTTTCTTGCTGAAGGCATTGAGGGGAAAGTACGTGTTTGGTCCGACCAAAAACATCGCACATCCTGTAGTCGATTTTGAATCGAATTCGCCCGCAAAGTCGGAATCACTGAACAACCACAGTCTGCAGTCCATTATGCTGTCGCCTATGAAACCGCTCATAGTGACATCAAGCGAAGAGTTTATGTAGCAAACCAACCTGTGAAGTCCCAAGTCGCAATCTGGACTCCACTTGGTCACCCTCGACGCCAAAGACTGTGTTGCCCTTAGAAGATCCCATCTGGCCATGCGAGCAGCGAACAAAATCTTCATTAGTACCTTACTAGCAATAGGTTGCAAGCGCCCTGCCTTCTCTCCTTCGGAAGCTGTTGGCAAAGCCACACGTAGCTCATGGAAGGGGGTTGCAGCTGGTTTCAGGGTCTTACGCTCTACCTTAGCAAGCTCGCAGTACCGATCAACGCAAGAGTCGAGAAAGTCCTTCATATCGTACGTGATGCGAGTGACTGGCTTGGTCATTGCACCGGGCTTCTCTTTAACGTCTTGCGACAATGTAACAAACTTGCTCTGCTTCGCCTCCTTTTTAGCCTCAGACTTGTTACGAACCGGCTTGCCCTTGCGGGCAGCTGCAACTGCCAGCTCGAAATCAGACTGTTCCCGGCCTGCGAGGTCGAAGTAGGTTTCGCCGTCCCACCAATCCTGAAGACAGCGATCGCGCATTTGATTGCAACTGTCAACAACAACTTCCTCCGACTCACCCTTGCGGGTGGCTTTAGCCACCACAGTGTATCTCCGAGGGCCAATCCCCGGGAACATTCTAGCATCATCCTCGTTGGGGACATAAAGTCTTTTGCGAGGATAACGGTGATGTCGGATTGCTATGAGATTCTCAGGGTCAATGTCCCAATAATCTTCTTTTCTAGCAGGAGTTGCAGCTGATGATTCGGGCTCAAACACGTGACGAAAAGGGTGTGCTTCCTTGGGCAGCTTGAGGTTGTGTTCTTCCTTGTGCATGCACCCAAAGTATCTACCAATGGCTTCCGGAAGATCCATATCAATGACGCTCGAGATCAAGTCCCATCCCTCCTTGATAGAGTTCTTAGGGCCAGCGAGTTTAAAGTCATCGACGTATACCACTAAAAGCAGCTTCTTCTTCGGGTGGTAGAATACACTCTTCCAAATGTCAGTCAATACTGCCTCGAACCCGACTTTCTTCAACTCAGCTTCGCAGTGATGTTCCCAAATCCCCCCTGAATCGGGGTGTCCGTAAAGTGCCAATTTGAGTGGAACGACAGGATCTTTCATGCCCTGCCATGCCTTAGGCCAGCGATTGCGAGGCAACCGTACCCAAGTGGCAACCCCTTGGAACAAGGCTTGGGTGTATGCTTGCTTGGCGTCGGCCTGCTGGATGACGTAGCCAGGTTGTGAGCCGAAGACGTCAAGAATCTTTCCTGCTTCCATGGATGCAGGACTGCTCGACATCTCCGCGAAGAGCGCGTGATCGGCGTTTTCATCAAGTACTTTGTTTCCCTGAAATACCGAACGTCCCTTATACTTACGATTAGGGTCGCCTTCTTTCAGCTCGGCTCCCTTTAGGGTACCAATCTCAAAAACATTGCCAAAGTGAACCTTGGTTTGAGATTTCTTAGCTTCGTTGGCAACCGACTCGAACTCCCTGACTTTGCCTTGTACCCAGCAGCCCTTGTCAACCAATTTCTGCCATTCCTTGTCCATGGCAGCCTGCGCCTTAGGGTTTGTTGAAATCTCCTTAGACGACAGGACCTTGGCGACAACAGCATACATCTCATCTGCGATCTGAAAAAGCTTCTTGTCATATAGCCCTTTGAGTCGTTCCCGATGTTCCTCGCTACACCCATGTAGGACTGGCATTGCAGGTACCACCTTTACAGCTTCACGATACAGTGCCTCATTCTCCTCATGTAGCTTCTTCTCATGTTCTGCAATTGCTGTTGCTCTTTGACTTTTCGACATAGCCTTCCATGCAGTATGATCAATAGCGTTAGGGCGGTTCTTGTTGTTCTTCTTGACCAAACATTCCCCACTCCACGTATAACCATACGGTGGTTCTTGCGCTGCTACTGCTGCGCTGGACTTCAGCTTCTGCTTCACAGAGAACGGAACATCATCAAGCAATGCTGCACGGGAATCAGACTTTGACTCACCCTTGCGGGTGGCTTTCGCGTCCTTCGGCGGAGGATCTTTATCACGATCAGGACCAAATAGCTCTGGGAACATTTCATCCAGGTCTTCGCTAAGTTGTTCCTGAATTGTGGCTTCATCGTATCCCCCCCCTTCCTCCAGAGGAGGATGCGGGTTTTGCTCATCAAGGACATTGTGATGTTGTGCATCAAGGCTTGGTGGTTTATCCAAGGCAGGCTCTTGCAACAACGGAAACTTAAAGTCACCATCTGGTAGCTCCAGTCTCTTAGTGCGAAACACACGTAGATCTTCGTTTTCCAACGCGGCTTCGATGTTGTGTAGGGGAGCAACGACGTACTCAAGCTTGAAGATAAAACCAGGTTGGATGTGATACCCGAGGAATATACCTTCAATCCCTGTGCCAGAAAACTTGGATCGTTCAGGCTTGCGTTGCTTCTTCGGGGCCCAGTAGAGGACTTTCGCTCCAAAGGGAATGCGCATGCCGTTGAACTTTTCACCGTACCTGATTTCCCACGGAATCTGACCATTGTCAATCCTCGCAGTGATGTTAAGACACATAGCATGATGTTGCGATGCAAGAGGCCAATAGCGATCTGGAAGTCCTGATTGCACTAAATTGGCCCGTGTGCCTTCCAAAATGGTTCTGATTTCTCGCTCGATTACGGCCTTGTTTTCGTTCACATACTCTCTAGAAGTGTTGTGACGAGCGCGAAGCTGTCTGGCCGCAAAGTCAAACTCCAACGCATTGTCGGAATATATAACCTTTACCTCATCATCTGTACCAAGGAAGTGCAACATGTCTTCGTAGCACTGCTCACCAGACTTTGTCTTGGAAGGGTACACGTATCTAAACTTAGAATACACGTCCTTCACAACATGAGCCACGGCTTCATCTTGGAACCCGTAATCCTTGGCATCAGCGGTCACGATGTGATCTACTGTGATGTGGTCACCGAACGATTTACTGTAGATTGTAGAGGATCCACCAGATTTACGCGCCTGGGGCGCATACATCTTGGCCCTTTGGCAAATTGGGCAGAACGGATTCTTTGGTCTATGGGTAAGTCGATGTTCCAAAGACACAGCCTCAGCCCTCAAGGAA